TACTTCAATCTCGAGACAGCCAAGATCAAAAATCTACAAAGGATGCGGCCTACGGATAACTGAGGTTACATTACAAACCGGGCAGATGCCACTTACGCTACTGGAACGCCGGCATTCACGTTGAATCAGGCTGTCAGCAGAGCTCCCGTTCAACGCACCGAGCAGAACAGTTCTGTGACTTAAAGCAGCACCACAGCAGGCAAAAGAAATAGTGATCTTATCCGAAATTCACACCAGAAACACGTCTCAAAGAAGTGGGGATCTTCCTGCGCAATCCTGTGGCTACTTCCCATGCATCGTGCAGACTGAGTTTTCAGAGGGGCTAACCACGATGCCACTGAAGTCAGCTCCAAGCGACTCGCTGATAATGCTACAAAAAGCTTTTGTTGTTGTTATCTTTTATTATTCATACTGCTTTCCCATCCAGTCATGCATCCGATGGCAATGTACCTGTACCGCAATATATATATATATATATATATATATATATATATATATATATAGTTGGTGGCATCCGGTTTCGGACTTGCCTGTCACTGTAGCCAGCCACAGGGCGCCTGCGCCTACAGAGGGACCATGGGGGGCTTGCGCTGCACCACACACCCCATATCCAGTGTAAACCCGAAGGAATAAGACCGGGAGGCATGTGGATGGGAGCCACGTTTCATCAACGGAGCCGGCCCACACTCCTTCACAGGCAAACACAAGCACGCTGTATTTGGGAATCAAGCGCACACAAGGCGGTGGCTGGACCGTAGTCCGCTCCACACTGAGTGCATGGAACCACTCTTTGATCCTAACACAGCCACAAGGACCATGCACCCTGTCCCCTCCAGCAACGACCAACTGTCTCCTAGAGCCAGTATGGACGAGGTAGTGGGTAATAGACAGGTAGGCACCTTGTCAACATGCACATCAAGCGCAGCCACACCGGGGATATCAAGCAACAGCCAATCACTTGAGAGAAAGATAACAAAGAAAAGAAATCGAGTAATGCATAAGGAAACGTGACAAAAATCTTAAATTAATGAGCATATGAAATAAGTTGTTTACAAAGGATCCGAGATAAGTTCACGAGGTCAGAAAGTATATTTTACGGAAATGACACAAACACGAAAATGTTATCGAAATTAACTACAATTGGCTTAAGCGACTTGTGCAAGTTTATAGAAGAGCGTACAAGTAGACATTTATATGAGAAAGAAAGGCTTAGGACAAAATTGAAAACCCACCACCTGAAATAAAGAGACTTAGCATGCAAGCACGCGGTTAGTAAATCGAATGCAGCGTACCTACAAACGCTGCGCTGGTTCTGCCTACGTTCTCTGCAGGACCCGTCGTCGCTTCGGTAGTGGTCCCGAGTGGCCTCGCTCATGGCTCACTAAGCCTGCCTGACTCAGGCACTCGCGACCGCATGTGCTACAGCACCATGCGCTTGATGTCGATGGAGTACAACCCATCGGTGCTTGCCGCTTCCGCACTTGCCGCTTCTTCTCTGCATGTATGAGGTCATTCTCCCGCACCTCCGCAACTGCCTTCGTGATTAGATCGCGCCATGCACGCCGATCAACCGCCTTCGATTCCCATGACCTGCAATCAAGATTAGAACGTGAGAGGCTCGCTTCGATCATGTCCTGGTAATGTAATCTTGGTTCCCCCACATGCCGCTTTCCTATACTCAACTGACCATATAATAGTTGTTTCGGTATCCGCTTCGCATCCATACGGCTCACATGACCGATCCACCTCAGGTATCTCAGCAAAAGTATGCAGTCCACTGGATACACTCCACTTTGTCGCAACATTTCCGTGTCAGCAACTCTGTCGCCCCATCCGATCCGCAAAAGAAATCGCAAACACTGCTGATGGAACCGCTCGAGATATCGCACATCCCGCCGGTACATCGTCCAGCTTTCACTGCCGTATAGAAGAGCGGACAGCACCATGGATTTGTACACTATCAGCTTCGTGCCAATGGTAAGCTGATGGTTGTTCCACACTCGGTACTCTAGCTTCCCGAATGCCGCCGCTGCCTTCGACACGCGGATACGCAGCTCACTGTGTATCTGCTGATCAGTCGACATCACACTCCCAAGGTAGCAGAAGCGGGAGGTGGTTTCCAATACTTCAGCACCAATGCTGATTCGCGGCAATATTGAAGATTGCACCTCCGGTGAAGGCTGAAAGAGACAGACAGTTTTGCTTGTGTTGATGGTGAGCCCGAATTTGGCCGCTGTCGAAGCCAGAGCACTAGTCATGTGCTGCAACTCATCCGCGCTGTGTGAAAACAACGCACAGTCGTCAGCAAACAGCAACATACGGATAGTTGTCTCACAGACTAGAGTTCTCGCACCGAAACGACGGATGTTCAGCAACCCACCATCAATACGGTGCTCCACACGAACACCGTAAGCACAAGCCGCATCAAAAGCACAAGACATCATTGCATGAAGATATATATTAAACAGGGCAGGAGCTAAGACACAGCCTTGCTTCACACCAGAGACAACTGCAAAGTCATCCGAGGTCTCTCCACTCAGCTGCACCCTCGCTCGCATACCACTGTGCAGACATTCAATTAAACTTACAAACTTACGCGGGCAACCAAACTTACCCAACACCAGCCACAATGCCTCGCGGTTCACCGTATCAAATGCCTTGGTGAAATCAACAAAAAGCGAGTACAATGGCTGGTGTCGTTCTCTGCACTTCTCCTGCAACTGACGAGCCGCAAACACCATATCTATAGTGCTGCGACCCGAACGGAATCCACACTGCTCTTCCGCCACGTTAGGTTCCACAACCTGACTGACGAGGCGGTTGAGCAGGATTCGGGCAATCACCTTGCCCACACAACTCAGCAAGTTGATGCCATTAACATTTATTTTTGACATTTGCATGCATGGCTCGAGGGATGAGCTGTACAGCAATATGCCAAGAGAGGACGAATGTCCCGGCAGAATAGGAAACACTGATTGAAATAAAAAAACTTCAAACAGTGGTCGGAACCGCGTCAATTGTCACCGTGTGGGATTGGGTGCATGTTATGTAAGGCGTGATGATGCACCACGCATGTAGGTGTCGTAGACCTTCAGAGTCAGACGAAGAGTAGAAACACAGAGGTCAGAAATATCAAGTGATGTCATCCCGAGTGCGGTAAGATGTTTGGCTGAGGTGGAACATATCATCCCTCGATTATTGATAACGACGGGGTGGTGAACAATATTTGTCGTCTCAGGAAACTGTTCACGTATGTATCGCGATATGGCTGCGGCATTCTCCCCTGATCCGTATTTATCCACTTTCAGTTTATAAGTACAATCCATTCGGTACGCGTCACAGATGGCCACGTCCACAATGTGAACCGTAGAATTTCTAACCGCAAGCAGGTCTGGCTTGATGAAGGAGGTGGCTGTCGGAATCCTCGGCTCCATAACAATGTTAATGCTTCGGCGCCGCAATTGCCTGGCAATCTGTTGGGCAATTTCATTGTGACGTTTACAGCGGACATCATGCGTGATGCAGCACGCCTGAAGAACATGTGACAGAGTCTCTTTTTGTCCGCAGCTCCCGCGGCAGTTGAGAGAAGCCGGGTCATTTGTAGATCTGCCTCTGCTCCGTCGCGTTTTGGTAGAAAGAACACCCCCCGTAGTTGGACACCCCGTATGAAAAGACGTGGAAAAATCCTGGTGGGGTCCCTCAGCCAGTGGTGAGCGGAAGGTGACGTGACCACATTTCGCAAGGGAGAGCCATCCACTGAAGCAAAAAAAGCATCTCTCCAGGCTTCCGCAGCTGAGCTTTTATCCATGACGACGCGATTACCGATGGTAACAGTGGAGCGCGCTAGACGATGGATGGCAGCGGCTGCAGGGTCCCGGATCGCCCAACTGGTCACTGGATGGCAGTTGGCTAGGTGTCGTTCCAGCCTCTCCTTCCGTAGCAGGGGAATACTCGTTGACAGACACGGAATACCCAAACCAAAGCTCGCAATGGGAGCGTGAAGATATGCAATGGAGGTGTCTGACGGCAAGCGCAGCCATTTTCTGACGTGTGATCTGACAATGCGATCCAACCGCTTCAATGTATTCCGGTGAACCACTGCCAGAGCTAACTGATGAACATGCTTGGGGAGCAGATAGGTCCTCAGAATCTCAAGTCGTTGTTGTGGTTTAAGCGGTGCCTTGGTAACTTCGTTAAGTTGCACAGTAATATCGTCGATTACTGTTAGAGGGAGCTTACCCTTCCAGTTAAAAGGCAGGCCCAACATCTTGAACTTTTCATCGGGCTGAATGGAGGGAATAAAAATAGGACCACAGTCCAAAGCATTCGTATCCAGTATGGTTCGTTTGCGAGCGCCATCAACAATTATATTTACCGAGAAAGATTTTAGATGGTTGATGTTGAGGCCGACGCACTGCAGTCGTTGATGGAATCGCTGAAGGTGATCTCCCAGAGAAATGCGGTCTTGAGCAAAGATGATCACGTCGTCCGCGTAAGCGAGGTACTCAATCGGGCCAGCCGGTGATATCCAAGGCGAAGTGGCGACTCCGTGTAAAACTTCATCTAGGGACATTATGAAGAGCAAAGGCGAAAGCGGATCTCCTTGCCGGACCCCTCTATCAGGATGAAGCTTGACATCATTAAAGATTGAGGACGCGGAGCTGTAATACGATGCCAAGTAATCTAATAATAGCGGGGGGGCTCCGAAAGCAGCTGCTGCTCGAAGTAAGGAGTGATGAGAAATGGAATCGAACGCCTTCGAGATATCCACTGCCGCAAATGAAAGGGGGGTACGAGAAGAATGAGAATGGCGAAGAGCAGCATGGAGTATGGACGGGGCTTCGAAAGCGCCATCTTTACGAAGAAAACCAAATTGAAGGCGGTCGGTAGGGAAAGTCGGAACCCAACGATCAAAGAGGATACGATGAAGAAGGCGTGTGAAGACAGATGAAACTGCGATTGGACGGAATTGGTCAGGGGAGATGGGCTGGGAAACTTTTGGTACGAAGGTGATCCGAGCAGTGTTCATGTGGATGGGAAATGGGTAGGAAGCAAGAAGACAGTTGAGAAAAGAAGTTACAAAGTAGGGATCCATCCTTGAAATATCGGCTGGCTTGATGCGGTCTACACCGGGAGCCGAACCCCGCATCTGTTTGAGAACACTTTGCATCTCCTCCAGGACAATTGGCTTCACCAAGTCATCATTAGCTGGAAGGAATCGACGCGGTGCGCGCTCATCATTAGCAGAAGGTCTGGAGAGGACATTCTTCCAATATTCCGTGAAACCTGGAATGTTCTCGTCCTCATTAAGAAAGGCAGTGCGCCATCTTCCGTCAATCACCGTACTTGCAGCGTCTTTCCGGCGGGTATGATAAAGACGTTGAATATGGCCATATTGTAGGCGTCGCCGGTGCTGATTGTTTCGAATCTTAACGGTATGTACACGTTTTTTCGAAGGCCTCCATCTGTGTGGAAAGAGAGTAGCACACACATCGTTTAGGGCCTCACTAAATGCTATCCTCGATCCATCAGTAGCGAATGAATTCACCAGATTCCGAAGTATGCGGTGTTCCTCCTTGGCAGGAGAGGCGCAGTTGCAAAGAAGCTGTTGGGCAGCTAGCAGCAGAGTGCGGAATACTGGTGTTGGCGCGGACGCAATGGAAGCTTCGTAATTAGAATTGGAAGCTTCTGGTTGATCCTGTACCGCAATGGCCGTGGGGCACGTAGTGGACGGAGGGGCCATAATACCAGCTGAAGTTTCGCTAGAGAAACTTATGGTAGACGACTGCTCCTGAGGGCATACTGTTGCCTCTGGAACTAACGCTGCAGATGAGTGAGGCGAGGTTGAATAATCTATCGAGGCAGTGGGGGATGGTACATTGAAACGCAAATCAGCGTCGGAGGAGGCGGTGGTCACCGCAGGATTGCCTTCGTACGATTCTCGAGGGGTTTGTGTAGACACACCCAAGTTAGTAGTTAATGTAGGCTGAGGTTGATGGAATTCATCGGACGTTATGGTTGAGAAGGGTGACGCTCGTACGGTTCCATCTGGAGGCGTGATTGGATGTTTGGTTTCAGTCGATGGTTGCGGAAATGCACTGGAAGTGGACGTTGTGTGGTGTTGATGAAAGAACCATCTAAGTCGTTGCAAGCGTTTTCTGATACCGTCCCTGGTGCGAAAGGGGAAGACGCGCCTCAGTCGTTCTAAAAGGATATTTAAGGAAGGAGACGTAACCGCAAAACGTGAGGCTGCTAAAAGTAGGGATTTGTCATCCCTGGCTGACCAGTTGTAAGATTGCCTCGGTAGTCGGGCTAGACAGTCTGCATTGTAACTGACAGGATGCTGATGTCTCCAATGCTGAGACAGGCCATTTTTAGTCGAAAACGTACGGTGACATGTTGGGCATTCGAAACTGGAAGTATTCCTGGCAGCGGCTGTGGTAAGTAAACTCGTAGGGTTCCTGAGATGGGCCGCCAAATGGCGCCGCAAGCCGCTCCTAGATTTAAACGTCCTCGAGCATAGCGAACAAGAGGGAGGCTGGAGTACGTCAGAGATCGTCGCCGGATCGGAGGCGGGAGATTTGGATGTTGATAAAGTAGCTTCAGCAGGAGAAACTCTTCGTCGTGGTGATGGCAGCAACTGAGGGAGGCGATCAAGTAGTACACATGGTTGTCGTGATCCCGATGGTAGAGCTATGGGTGATAAGGGTGAGTGTAAGGGTGACGGGTGGACGCGGTTCCGAGAGCTGGCTATGGAGTCGGCAGAGGCCGGTCCGTTTGATTCGTTGAAAGAGCAACCAGCAAATCCACTGCTCTGACTCTGCAGGGCAGGGGATGAAGGGAAACAGGTGGGAGCCTGCGCCGCGGGCCGTTCATAGGCCCCTATCCGCGGCTGGGGTGAGGGGGGTGCATCGAGTTGGGCGTGTATAAAATGGCATTCGGGTCATTGGAGGGGTTAAAATCTGGGGCGTTGGTGATAAAAGGGTTGTTGGGCGATCCGGGACGACAGCGGAGGTGCGAAATAGCCGGCTTGCGACGAGTAAAATGAGGAGAGGGGCGATGTGATCGATTCTCTGGAGTGGGTGACGCGGTCTCTTTGGATGCTAGGGATATCACAGGAAAGCTCGGTGTGTTTTGCTCCGGACTGTGGTTACTGATTGTGTCCTCAGTAATATTATCGGTTGCACCCGTCGTGGGTGTTAACGACTGTTGAGGTTGGTGGCGATGAAGGCGGCGGCCTGGAGGGCGTTTCCATTTTAGAAATTGGAGCCGTTTCCTTATTGCTGTCATCGTTCGGAAGGGGAGTTTAGTTTGTAAAAGTGGCAGAAGCTGCGCTAGTGAAGATACAGATTCGCCTAAATGAGCTGCGTGCAGTAATAACTGAGCATCTTCCTCCGCAGACCAGTGTACTGAGGATATGGCCGCTCGGGATGACAGCATGTCTTGGTAAATAGTGGGGTGTGCCTGGCGGCAGTGAGTGGTAAGCGCTCTTGCTGAGGCGAATTGACGATTGCATTGTTGGCATGACATCACCGGAGCACCGCGCATACGTAGATCGTTGGGATGTCGTTTGTGGTATCCGGTATGCCGAGTAAGACCAGCAGCCGTCGAGAAAAGAGCGTGACAGATATTACAGGTGTAATTTTGCAACACAGTGTGAGAAGTCGAAAGTATGGCGGAGGTTGTCATTGTTGGTTGTGGAATGTTGTTTGTTACTCCGTCGATGTGCAGTGATAAGGAATTCATATTTGAGATGTGTGAGTGAATATGTGCACAGTGCATGAATCCGCGGTCGACTAAAAGAGACTATCCATAGGGCTCAGGCCACAATAAGTGAAAAATAGGAATAAAAGCTAAAACGGAATAGGGGAAGGGAAATGGTGTAGGCGAGAAGGATAATGGAAGAATTTATAGAATGCACGAATTACCCCAAGTAAAATATGATTGAGAATTAAACACGAGCATAAAAATTCTCTCGCTAGTCGGTTAGGTCAAATATTGTTCGCAGCATGCGTAAAATGACAAAAACTGACAAATAAAAAGATAGCGATTGCCAGAATACTCCCGAAAAATACCAAGGTAGGTGGACAACACTTGAAAGCCCAGAAAAATACCCCTACTTCAATCACAATTTATCAGTAACATCTGTAAAACATCAAAAAATAAAAGCCCCTCTAACAACGTGAGACCCATGACGATCATAAAGCGTTGGCGAAACTTCGCCCAATTCGTGCAACATTGCTTGCTCCCTTTGCCCTTGTACAGTGGTATCACAAGGGCATCCTTCAGCTCAGGAAGCACCTCCTCCCCAAACCATACGCGTTGCACCAA